GAAGCCGCCGCAGGTTCACCGCTCGAATCCGGGAGCCGCGCGACGGCGGTTCGTGCAGCTTTGCCTGCGAGGCGGTCCCGGCGGGGAGGAGTTTCCCCAATTACACGCCTGACAACGCGCAAGACGAAGAAAACAAGGTCTGAACCGAGTCCAGGAAGAGTTGCGGCCGGAAAGGGGGAAGGGCCCCGCAGGAGCGGGAGCACGGAGAACGCGGGGATCCTTCTCGGAGCCTGAAGAAGGATCTCTGGGAGTGGCACCTGTGGTCGAGAGACGGTCCTAGTTTCCGACTGGACTCGTTCCGTCTGTCATTTCAACAAAATGTAGTGGCTCTGCAGCGCCCGCTGACCCCTCTTCTTGCACGCCCCTCCTGCCAGGGTTCACCTGGGCACGCAGCTCTGAGCCCTGGGGTCAGGGGGTCTGCGGATGGCAGCGGTTCTCTAGCACACAGCAGACTACATCTGCTGACCTCTTCTTTGGACCACTAAGATCTGGCGTTTAGGAAGGCGGCCTTGTTGGGGATCATTTAGGAGGAAAGCACCCCGGATGTATGTCGTTCTCACCTAAAAGAGAGACGAACACATATTCAACAAACAAAACCAAACAAAAAACAAACAAACCAAAAAACCTCACTGCTGTCGAGTCTATTCCGACGACTCATAGTGACCCTGTAGGACAGAGAGGGGCGAAAAGAAAAAGGAATGTTAAAAGTAAAAGAGAAAGATCCCAAGTCAAAAAGAAAAAGACGTTCTGTTTGGATGAACCACGAAACTTGCTTCATTCGATGTATTTTCATACTCTGAAGACCGAAATTTGCATTTATGCTTCCATCTGTAATAACTACTCAGAAAGCCAGCCTTTCACCACATAAGTGTTATACCAGCATAGCTTAGAGAAAATACGCGAAGAATTTGGCTTTTACATTCCAAAACTAGTTCTTAGAAAATGTTTTGCTTCAAAGTACTAACCGTGGAATTATAAAAGGGTGCTATAACTGTTTCTTAAATATCGTGAAATAGATTTTTTTTTCCCATAAAATACATAGAAAATGAAGTTGAGAGTTGTCTTGTGTCTTGTTTCTGGATTCCCCAACATGAATGTGGGCATGAAGTGTGAGTGGAAACAAGTTGTTGATGATGACTTGATGATTATACTTTTTTCTTTCTACCAATGGAACTGTATCTCCCTGGCGTTCCATCTTCCTGTCTCCATGAGACCTTGGGCTACCCTCAGCTCACCTTGTCACAGGGCCCTTTCTGACGTCCTCCTCTGCCAGCCAGCTCTCACCTACTCCATACACAGGCCCAGTTCCGCTCTTGTTTTCCATGAAGACGCCGAACAGTCCTGCATCCCTCCACTCTCGACACTTTTATCACTTATTCAAGCTTCAGGGGAATGTGACCTATTTATGATATTCCTCCCTAATCTCTAATTTTCTTTGTCACATAACTGAGCACTTTAAAAATCAGTTAGATAATGATATATTATTCATTGACTACTTATAGAAATCAGTCAAGTCTCCAAAACTCTCAAAGCATGCTGTCAGAAAACTACAGGTAAAAATAAATAATTCTTTTGTGCTTCAATTTTTAGCACAGTAACAGGCACATCGATAAAAATAATAATCAGACATTGATAACATAATATAGGCCCAGGGTCGCTGTAAAGGCTGGCATGCATTAACTCATTTTACTTCTCACAACAGCCCTGTAGTTAGGTAATTTTGTTTCATTATTTATAATTTACAGGTGGAGAAAACAAGGCATAGAGAATTAAGTACTCCCCCAAGATCCCCAAGATCACACAGATATTACATTGGGGACTGGAGGTTAAAACTCAACATGTTTAGTCTTAATCTCTATGCCACACTGTCTTTCTGAGTAGGAGTTCAGTAAACATTTGTTATTTGGTTCTTTAACTGACTGAGCAAAACTTTAGACTCCTTTCCATATTCTCTATTTTTTTAGCATAAATACACATTTTTAAAAGTTGTTGATAATAGAAACAGACTGGTGTTTGAATGGTTCTATAAAATAACAGTATAATGGGAAGGATCCTGTGAAGTTTTTACAATTCAACTAGAGGAAAAGAAAACGTGTTGCTCTTTTTACATCCCTGCATTGCTTTATTATTTTCCTTTCTTGCATATGTTCAGTGTACTGTGATTATTGTGAATGAATGCAACACGATCTCGCCTGGCATTTGTCTCTTTTCAAGCAGAGAATAGAAGGCATCCTTCCACTTATTAGACTTAGTGAGTCAGCTTAGTAGACCTAAACATTTTACCTTGGAAAACCTCCCCTTCCCATGATGTGTCTAGAACAAGATTTTTATCGTTATTATTATTAACTAAATGAGTTGAGAGGAAGGGAAAGTTCAAAGCAAGCTTTCTGAGCATAAATGTGAAAGCAAAATGCAAATTCAAGAACCTTCAAAGGCTAAGAGGCTTTGATTTTCTTCTCGTGCCCATTTTGGCCAGCAGGAGAATGGTTTGTGGAGCATGGGCAGTTTCTCACTCTCTGTTCTACCTACCCCCCTCCCCGCCCCCGCCCCGGGCCCGGGTTTTCAGCACCAGAAAGGTGGAGAGCTCCAGTTGGCGGGCTGGATTTACAGTCCAGGACCTTATCTGGGAGTAAAAGAAAGGGAAAAGTAAGTGAAAAAGAGAGTCACCACAAGATGGTGCTTAACCATAAGAGTAAGTGTGGGGATTGATTCACTCAACCGAATTACGTACAGAGACTTAAGTATATATAGAAAATCTTGTAGCGTTGCGTGCTGTTGGTGTCGCGTTTTGTCGTCAGGTCGTCTACTCAGGAGGCTTTCGGGGAAGACCTGGGCTGGCTTGCACAGCGCATGAGTTGAGCTGCGTCTCAGGAGGAGGCGGGAAGAAAGCCAAAGAAAGGGCAGCGAGACTAGCTTCCTTGGCTACAGGATCCTCTTGTGTTTTCTTTGAGAAAAACCTCTCAGGATTCCTTTCATGGCCTCACTTCACCTCCTACAGGCGCGAAGGAGGAAAGTGAGCGTGTGCAACTTTCAGAGCAACGGTGTTAAATATAACCGGACCACTGCATCAGTTCAGCTTTTTCTTTGAAGTATCTGGGTTTTGTTTTCTTTCTTTTTTATTGTGCTTTAGGTGAAAGTTTAAAGCTCAAGTTAGTTTCTCATACAAACATTTATACACACACTGTTATGTGACCCTAGCTGCTATGGCTGTAATGTGACCGCACACTCCTCCTTTCCATCCAGGATTTCCTGTGTCCATTCAACCAGTTCCTGTCCCTTTCTGCCTTCTCATCTCGACTTGGGACAGGAAGCTGCCCATTTAGTCTCGTGTGTCTACTTGAGCTAAGAAGCATACTCTTCGCGAGTATCATTTTTTGTCTTATAGTCCAGTGAGTTGGCTTCGGGAATGGTTTTAGTTCTGGGTTAACAGAGAGTCTGGGGCCATGTCTTCCGGGGTTCCTTCAGTCTCAGACCATTAACTCTGGTCTTTTTACTAGAATTTGGGTTCTGCACCCTACTTTCTCCTGCTCCGTCAGGGGCTCTCTGTTGTGTTTCCTGTCAGGGCGGTCATGGGTTTTGTTTTGAACAGAATCGCTCCACTTCCAAAGTTGTATTTCTATCTGTATTATATTATGGTGTTTTACAGTGTTTTTTTTTTTTTTAAACGTTACCTTTCCTTTCCTTTCCTTTTTTTTTTTTTTTCTTTATTATCAAGGGATAATATACATGTAAGAAAACGCACTAATCTTAAAAGTACTACTCAATGAATTTTTACATATGTATATGTTGTTACTTTAGCTGCCCTGGAATTTCCCCTGAATCGTGGTGACCCCAGAAACAACTGGATCACTTCATTGTGCTCCATAAGGTTTTCATTGGCTGATATTTTGGAAGAAGACCACCTGTCCTTTTCCCACATATGTATGTAGCATGTGTATATGAATAGTCACCACCAGTCTGTCAGTTTGTCTTACTGCGGTGGCTTCCATCTTCCTACGATACTGAAATCTATGCCACCGGTTTCTCAAATACCAGCAGGGTACCCATGGTTGACAGGTTTCAGCAGAGCTTCCAGACTAAGACAAACTAGGAAGAAAGCACTGGCAATCTATTTCTGAAAAAAAAAGCCAATGAAAACCCTATGGATCACAACAGGATATTGTCCTATATAGTGTGCATCAGGGTTGCATCCTTGCACCATATTTATTCAATCTGTATGCTGAGCAAATAATCCGAGAAGCTGAACTATATGAGGAAGAACACGACATTAGAATTGGAGGAAGACTCATTAACAACCTGTGATACGCAGATGACACGACATTGCTTGCTAAAAGCAAAGAGAATTTGAAGCATGTATTGATGAAGGTCTACACACGAGATCTACTACGGCCTTCAGTGTGGATTATACCTCAACATAAAGAAAAGAAAAATCCTCACAACTGGACCAATAAGCAAAATTATAATAAATGGAGAAAAGATTGAACTTGTCAAGGATTTCATGTTACATGGATCCACAATCAATGCCCATGGAAACTGCAGTCAAGAAATCAAATGACATATTGCCCTGGGCAAATTTGCTACAAAAGAACTGTTTAAAGTGTTAAAAAGGAAAGATGTCACTTTGAAGACTAAGGTGCACCTGACCCAAGCCATGGTGTTTTCAGTCACATCCTATGCATGCAAAAGCTGGACAAT